ATTGCTGCCAAAGGCAGCACTCCTAATCTTGACATGAAGGTTTCTCCAGAGTTCACTCGACCCAGTCTTTCGCGCCGATCTATGTATTGTCGAGATTTCGATTTGTGTCTGTCCGTCCGTTAAGATGTCGTAATTCCGGGGGGGAACGGACGGGGGAAGTGCGAGAAAAATATTAAATTGCGTGCACATAATATGCAAACTTTTTATTCTGGATCTGCAAAATATACGAACATTTCCCGAAGAAACCAGGTAAGTATGGCTTTATTTCTTTGTGCTAATATCCATCAAGGCGATAAACTGTTTAGCGTTCATTCTGGAGGCAAGCAATGTGCTTTTATGAGTTTACGGCGCTTCTTACAGCCCGAAATAATTCCCATTCGCATTGTCCGCATGGTCGTTTATAGAACATTTGATAATTTTATGTCATATTCAAGGAGACAAAATGTACTTATAAGGAGTTCTGAAGTAATATAATTCATGAAAGTACCGGCAGTTTTAATAGTAGCCCGCCTGATCTATTCGTCAATAATGCCTTTATATATTTATACAAGGAGTCTAAATGCACTCAGTTTATTTGTTTGTTTAATATATGTGCCAAGACGATGAGTATTGTGTTCACTTCTAGATGTTTATAGTTTAACAACAAACGCGGAATGTTGTTAAATCAGGCTTACTGTAATAAGATTCCTAGAGCAATCTAGTGTGGATTGTTGTCTGCACTTTAAATATGGACTTACCAGCAATTACATGTAATAGTATGTCAACTGACTTTTGTAAAGATATGACTGTCTGTTTATATATACAGTATACATCTTTGAGGCCTCTGAGATTATGTCCCTTGTTAGCATAATATGAAATAATCCTACCGGCCTACATTCATATATTCATCTGGCTGTGTCACTACATTTCAGAGTGTATTTATATTTTTCGATAATGCTCACAATTAGAAATGTCAACAAATAGATCTTGTCTCCCCATCAGCATATTGTTCGGTTGTTCTGTAATATGGGCAGCCTTGAAGGTGGCATTAAAACAATAATTAGAACAAAACCTGACTTAGTATTTTCATATAAACATTGTAAAGTATTCAGTGGCAAGCTAGCCATGGCAACTGGCCATGCTATGCTGATAAACCTGCATCTATAATTTTGAATAATGCAAATCATTAAAAACTTGCATAGCATGACCTGTTGCTATGGCTAACTTCACCACTGACAGTATTATAATTATACAAAAGCAAGAAGTTATAAGCATTGAAGATATTCAATACTCATATAAAACCGCCCATGCCAAGAAAGTAGAATTAGACATAGTTAATAGAGGACAAATATGAATTAGACTACTTTTAACTACCCTTCGACTTTGTGCAAGATGTTTGATATTCAAATTGCCCTTTTCCTACCTCCTGAACAGGCGTCTTAGGGGCTGTTTGCATGATGGAAGGAACAATGATTTTGATGTATTGAAATATCAGTCACTAGGCTAAATGAAAGTTCAAATGCTGGTTAGCAGAACTCAAATGTTGTAGAGAAGATCTTGTGGTTCAAGAAGATTATATTATGCTTGAACAGGCAACCTTTCGTTTACAGTTAACTATAGTCCATCTCTAGAAAATAGTGTAGTTTTTGCTGAATCATGCACTGTGACGTATTTAAGTACATCAAAATCAGGGATGCCGGAACCACAGGTGCAGTGGGTGCAAGTGCGCCCCTTGCCTTTGCATTTTCAACTTTGTGGGTGCAGTGCGGGTGCAGACTATGGGTGTAACGGTTGCACAAAACTTTTACAACAGACAGAATTAAATGTCGTTCGAGGATGTGTGTGGGGGTGTTCCACCCCCCCTCCCCCCTCCCGGTCGTCAGGAATTCGGTAAAATTGTTATCCATTTGGCGAAAGGTGAAACGGAAAGCACTACTTATGGAATTTTTGGCGAGAAATTACGGAGGAATTGTGCCTAAATAATTGCTCATATCTCGTCCTGGCAAAGCGGGATCATATAAACAATGCTGCCTTTGATCCCTTGGGGGTGAGGCAGCATTTTCCTTGCGATAGTAACTTCTAGTTTATATATTTTTAATATTCAGCGCTTTTTCACAGGAAAAGACTGGGACTAGGTGATTTGGGGGCGGGGCGAAGGAAGCAAGCCTAGAAGGCCTAGTGGATTTCCCAACAACAAGGCCAAAACTGCCCTGAAACTGCCCTGGTTGCGAAATGCCCAATTATTGCGTTCTCGAACAGAATTATTTACAACTTAACGGCGAATTTAAACCGATACAGGTAAAATAAACTCATTTATAGTATAAACTTACTATTTTTATTTGTATACACGTCTAGAAAATCGTTTTTTTATCATAAAGTTGGAAGCAACGCTATTATTTAATATGTTGACAAGGTATAGCGAAAGCACAAAATTAGTCAAAATATATACCAAAAGTAGAATCTTTCATGAAATTTTGTCTTATACACAACTACATTAATATATATTTTCTCAATTTTGGCAAGAAGCAGTCTTGTGTTTGTAAAATATACAAAATAAAACGGAACATATATTATTAGCCCGTACAGTACTGTATATAAAAACGTACATTGTTTACAAATGGTATATCCGTAATATTTGAACAATAATTTCAAAATCCTCATTCCCAATTCGCAAATATAGTTATTCAAAGCAAAACAGTAGATTGTCTTGCGAATAAAAGAATTATTTATATTTTGTGCCGTTCCGCTACACCTTGTCAACATATATAAATAGTGTTGCTTCAAACTTTATGACAAAAACCCGATTTTCTAGACGTATATACAAATAAAAATAGTAAGTTTATATACTATAAATGAGTATATTTTACCTGTATCGGTTTAAATTCGCTGTTCAGTTGCAAATAATTCTGTTTGAGAACGCAACAATTGGGCATTTCGCAACCAGGGCAGTTTCAGGGCAGTTTTGGCCTTGTTGTTGGGAAATCCACTAGGCCTTTTATTTTTTCGCTTGCGTCATCCTCCGCCCCGCCCCCAAATCACCTAGTCCCAGTCTTTTCATGTGAAAAAGCGCTGAATATTAAAAAAAAAACACAATAAAAATAGAAGGCCTAGGTCTAGGCTGATATAGCGGGTCTATTATACGACGCGACAACTGAAGGGCGCGCGCGCCTTTGAAATGCCTGAAGTCATGCAACTCAACCTATTATAAAATAGCTAGCTATCATGAATAATTTGCGGTGCTGGTCAGATCAATAGCCTCAACAGCGTCGTAATTCTCAATGCAACTTCAAATTAAGAATTATCGCGTGTATATATATATATATATATATATATATATATATATATATATATATATATATATATATATATATATATATATATATATATATATATATATATGTATATAGATAAAGTTAAAATAAACCTGGTTTACTTCATAAGATTTATATTCACTACAAACTTGTTTCGTATGACAAGCAATGCTTGCCACACTCATCAGGTGAATTTAAATGTCACGCTATGTTGTTGCTAAGGTTATATATACTATATACATGTTTGACGTAAACGGAATGTTCAAGTATTAAATTACGTATAGATTACATATATATATATACAGATTATATTAAGTAATGTATATTGCTTAAGAGAAATTTGTTTCTATGTCTGCATTTCGACAAAAGTTCACTTCTTGAATTTAAAGAACAAAGTTCAGGGTGGTAGATTATGATGAATTTTTCATGTGTACAAAGACTGCAGCGTTTCGTTGTGTTGTTGTAGCTCTTGCATTGCTAAATAATACGCCAGTTTATGGAGTACTTGACCTTTGACTCTTTAAGTTGCCAGATGTATTTGCTCAGCTCTGTCGCATTTCTATACTTGCTTAATCTGAATGAGCTAGTGTGGCAATAATATCTGGATTTGAACTCTCCTTCAGTATGTCCGACATACGATTCCTTTTGATTCGTATCGTTCCTAACAACCGTTGCTTGGTATACTACGCTGGATGTTAGACATTTACCGGGCAGTGGACACGAGGATTTATTCCTGCAATTGCATTGTCTTGGTTTCGTGCTGCATGTTGACGCATCTGTTGAGGTGAGCTTATTTACTACAGATTTATTGTGCCCAGAAATTATATTACGAATGTTGGGCATGCAACTGTAACTCAGCTTCAGGGTATTTCTGTTAAATATTTTATGGAGAGGATTGTTTTTAGGGAAGCAATCATCAATTGCTTGGAGGAATTTGTGTCCGATATTCGTTTTGACATTAGAGTTGTAAGGTGGATTAAACCATATAACGTTTCTGTTTCTAGTGCGTTTTGTCTTTGCATGCTGGGGATTGTATTTTAACTTGTAGTTGTCACCACTCTTATGCAAAGCATCTTGGTATGGAGGACAAGCTGAATTAAATGCTTGTTCGTCAGACGAGAAGTTAATTCCGATTGTTAATTCCATCAGGAATTGCCTTTAGAACCGCGGGTGGGTGATTACTCTAACGATGGACATAATGAAGCGTATTTCCCGGTTTCATGTACGGTTTAAATGAGGAAGTTCTTAGGTCAAATGTGACATCTAGGTAATTGACACATTTTTTGTTAAATTATGTTCATTAAAAGTTTGCAAATTTGCTTCTTGATATTTTCTGTTGCTCTCGGTTGTTTGTCAAACGCTGCAAGCCCATCATCTCTGTAGAGACCAATATCATTTCGATATTCTGGAGGAAGTTTGGATAGTAGGAATAAACCAACTAGCTCGCATGTTTCTGCACCATCAAAACTGCCCATCGTTACATCAAAGAGGCTATATCTGATTTTGTCTTGCGCCAAGTTTGATTTCTGCTGAAGAGAACTGATTTCTTCGCCTGCATTATTATGTGCTTCTCCTCATCCGCGTGATGGTGTTGAACTGGGAAGCAAAGGTTAAGGCATTAAGAAGCAGCTCTTCTATAATGGATGGGTATAGGAGGAAATATACCAAATATGTATTTAAAGTCATATATGAGTAGAGTGCTTGGTATATTTCGCTCCTTTATTGTTGAGCACTCTACCAATAAATATGGAACCTATTAATCTTGGATACTCCACAAAGAACATACCAGTTGCGCAGCCAAAGGAATACTTACAGTGTTTGCTCACCAAAACGGAATCATTTCTACGACGTATTCGATGGAAAACTTATCATTTTCTCAAACCTGACGAGTCTGCGGAATCTGCATCAAAGGAAACCTTTGGTTTTCGTTCTACAAAATCGCCTCCACCAATGAAAGAGTTTGAAGAATTTGAAAATAGAATGTTTTCTATTTTTCAAAATGTTAAGTTTGACAAATGCCAAAACGAATTTCAGAAAACCCTTACGAAAGACTTAAATAACATTGGTAGTGAAGATAAAGTTTTAGTGTCCGCAGATAAAGCAACAAACTTTTACAAGTTAGACGCCCCTTCATACGACAAATTGCTTGATAATGCCATAACGAAGTCCTACAATAAAGCTAACGCGAACATTACTTCCAATATAGCAAATGAGGGAATGATTATAGCTGAGAATCTTGAACTTGCCAACCGAATCGACGCATTATCACCCAAAAATAGCTTCGTAACATTGAAAGATCACAAACCAAATTTTGAGAACAATCCAACCTGTAGACTAATCAACCCTTCCAAATCAGAAATCGCTGTCATCAGTAAACAACTCCTGCAAAGTATCAATTCAAATATTTTGATCCATACTAACTTAAATCAATGGAAAAACACGAACTCTGTTATTTCATGGTTTAAGAATTTACCTAACAAGTCATCTCGTTCGTTCATTTGTTTTGATATCGTATATTTTTACCCATCCATTACCGAAGAGCTGCTTCTTAATGCCTTAACCTTTGCTTCCCAGTTCAACACCATAACGGATGAGGAGAAGCACATAATAATGCAGGCGAAGAAATCAGTTCTCTTCAGCAGAAATCAAACTTGGCGCAAGAAAGTGTCAGATAGCTTCTTTGATGTAACGATGGGCAGTTTTGATGGTGCGGAAACATGCGAGCTAGTTGGTTTATTCCTACTATCCAAACTTCCTCCAGAATATCAAAATGATATTGGTCTCTACAGAGATGATGGGCTTGCAGCGTTTGACAAACAACCGAGAGCAATAGAAAATATCAAGAAGCAAATTTGCAGAACTTTTAATGAACATAATTTAAAGATTACAATCGAAGCTAACAAAAAATGTGTCAATTACGATCAATTACCTAGGTGTCACATTTGACCTAAGAACTTCCTCATTTAAACCGTACATGAAACCGGGAAATACGCTTCAGTATGTCCATCGTCAGAGTAATCACCCACCCGCGGTTCTAAAGGCAATTTCTGATGGAATTAACAATCGATTGTCCAACATCTCGTCTGACGAACAAGCATTTAATTCAGCTTGTCCTCCATACCAAGATGCTTTACATAAAAGTGGTTACAACTACAAGTTAAAATACAATCCCCAGCATGCAAAGACAAAACGCACTAGAAACAGAAACGTTATAAGTTTTAATCCACCTTACAACTCTAATGTCAAAACGAATATCGGACACAAATTCCTCCAAGCAATTGATGATTGCTTCCCTAAAAACAATCTTCTCCATAAAATATTTAACAGAAATACCCTTTATGATTTTCTTTTTCTCCCGTGTACAGAATTAAGGATGTGAACTTTTCTGAGCTCGGTTTACTGGGCACGAAATTGAAACACGCAATAGTCATTTGGAGTAAAATGGCATTTGGGGAAACCCCCAGAGCCGCTTTATTAACTTTATTAATTATAAAATTTTTCAATAACAAGTATGTGATTTAAATTATATATAATATAGTCTTGCCCAGTAAAGGTGAAGGGCACAAAAACGCCAACAAAAATTATGCATACAACAATATAGCTAAACATAAAGAAAGCAGAAAGGGAGGGATGGTTGGAAATTTCTCTATTTGCCTTCAAATATTTCATGAAGCTGAGTTACAGTTGCATGCCCAACATTCGTAATATAAATTTCTGGGCACAATACATCTGTAGTAAATAAGCTCACCTCAACAGATGCGTCAACATGCAGCACGAAACCAAGACAACACACGGGACAGCCACGGATCGATAGCCTTCAAAAGATCTGTACTCATAGGAGAAGTAAGGAGAGCAATTTCACGGTCGACAGACTCCACCGAAAGAAACAAATCATTACGTAAATTAACCTCAATATTTACGAGTAATGGATACCCCCAAACAATTTGTAAGATCAGTAATACAACAAACATTGCATACTGAACCACAACATGACAATCAGGAGAGATATATCTATCTCAAATTACCTTATATTGATGAGGTATTCAAGCGCCGTGCCCTAGCCACTATACGAAGAACTGGAATAGAAAATATAAGAGTCCACTTCATGAACGGACAACCAATATCTAAAATATACGCCCCGAAGAAAGACAAGCTAAGCTGTACAATAGATTGTGATACCTGCAAACTCTCAGAGAAAACAAATCAGTGTCACATCAAGAATACTGTCTATCTCATAAATTGCCTACAATGTCAGAAAGTTTATGTCGGTGAGACAAGTAGAACAATACGGACACGCATAAAGGAGCATCTTCGTATGGATAAACAAACGGTTTTCATCCATCTTAGAACCCATAACATTGACCCACGTACTGTCCCATCAATTAGCTGGAAAATTCTCCACAAAAATATCAGATACGAACATGAACGAAAAATTTTCGAAGCCTTTGAAATTCGTAAATATATGGACAAGATTATGAACGGTTGTGTGGGCCGTATTCTTAACATCTAGATTACATAATTCTTACTTAAAACTCTTATCTAATTTTTTAGTAGATTCTTAACTATGTCTATTTTAGCATGACCTATTATCCATAGCACATTACGCATGTAATTTATGTATGTTTTATTAATGATTATTAGGTGGACTTGTGTATATATAGGATAGAATATTATTATGGACTTATTGTGTCACTGATGAAGCCCTAACCGGCGAAACGTCTGACAAACTTATTAAAGTTTTTTAAGCTTACTTTTGCCTGAAGAAATCATTACCAACACCCAGCATATATATATATATATATATATATATATATATATATATATATATATATATATATATATATATATATATATATATATATATATCAATGGTACATCAGAGCTCACATAACAACTTTTTATTACGTTTCGGGGCAAGCCCCTTCTTCAGATTACATGTGTACACTTGATTTCAACTATTTAAACTGTCCATACCGTAATTATAATAATTCGCTTGATTAGTTGTATTGTTTAAACAAAGTCTTTTAAATTCAACCCATGCGGTTCAAACGAATTCAGTCTATAAGCCCAAAATCCTTCTCTTTGCGTGGGACATGCAACATTAGTTTTATCAATAATTTTAACTTTCACATCTTGCATACCATTATGACCTTGATAAAAAAAATGAGCTTACAAATGCTCGCCTGCCATACCCCTTTCACCTCTCCCATATCTATTCATGCTACTTTTGTGGTTGTTAAAACGTTTCCTAAAACTGTAATCTGAAGAAGGGGCTTGCCCCGAAACGTAATAAAAAGTTGTTATATGAGCTCTGATGTATCATTGATTGATTTATATAAATGTTGGGCTTTAGAGAAAGTTGGCTCAGTGATACGTTCACCCGATAATTTTTGTACTTTACTACGTATAACCACTCTCCTAAAGTTTTCAATAAAAACGATGAACTATACGTAATTCAAAGAAAACTCACAGACAGTTTTACAGTTTTAGTTTTATTACCTGTAAAGTGGGCATTCTAGTGTTTAGCCTTCAACAATACAAGACGCGTACAATTTCAGGTAAATCGGTTCAAAGCTTATCAACATTTGCAAACAACAATTAACAAATCTAATGGCATTTTTTTTGTAGAAATATTAGAAATATAAAAACAGATAAACAGCTGACCATAGTAACCGATTTCATACGAAAGATATTCAAAGCATGCGATTTTCTAGCTTTGTTGACTTGACTGTTGATCGGTAATTAAAAAGCAAACAGAAAAACACAAAAATTAGTATGCTGGCATTTCGAACCATGTATCGCAAGAATGACGAAATGTAGTTTAGATCACTCTGATCCATTCCTTGTAATTGAAGTGTAACGTGTTTTTTTAGAAGCATGCAATGTAAAATCCTCCCTTCCCCGTTAACCAATATATTTTGTAAAGTCACGTGACCTGTCCCAACCCGGGTCTTTCCCATAGATAAGACACTGGGTACGAAGCTGAGCGGGCAGTTGCATTTCACAGCGGGCATGCAGTTGCGCTTCAGAGCCGGCCTGATGCAAAAAACCAGCACGCTCAGGAAGGCTTCTCGGCCAGTCAGATTGCTTTATTCTGACTGAAAAAAATAAAGACAGTTAAGGCTTTACTTCACGTAATGATGCACTACCTTACTTTTCTAGAAACAGCACCCAGGCTAATGAGTCAGATGTTGACACCTGAATATTTACTGTCAGCTTTGTTCATGAGTGTGTGTAACCTTCGTCTGTGGTTTTATGTTGGTGGCTTAAACTCATATTTTGAATTTATGTCTGGCCATAACAACGATACGGGTAAGTTGACTTTCAAAGTTCTGTTTACTTTTTTTTGCATCTTTAATGAAGCCAGATGGAAAACGAAAACAATTTAGGTGGCCGGACATTTTGCCGAAAGAGACTTTGCCAAAAGACATTTTGCCAACAGACATTTGCCGAACGGACATTTTGCCGAACGGACATTTTGCCGAACGGACAATTTGACGAACGGACAACTTGCCGAAAATAGAGATATCTTCTGAACTTTAGAGGTTTCGCTTACACGGTCAAAGTTTCTGTGATTAAAGTCATTGTCGATTTCGATGACAGGAACTTTGATAGTGAAGCATATAGTTTCGTTTTATATTCTTTCAAGTTTTCTATAAGTTTACCGAAATTTCGCCATATATAAAAGAATAACATCATTCAACATCATTCATGAATGCGATTTCCCAGAGAACTGTGAATGTATTCGATGATTCTCAAAGTGAAATTCGCTTACGTCGTTGTCTTTATATATGGCTTGTTTGTTTACGACCTGACGTCAAAACACGTTCCTAGCAAATAAGTCCTCCGGTGCACAAACAAGCTACCAATAGTCAATATGCATGGTTATGTACTGCTAATGACCCATTACGCACTGCTAATGACCATATAATGGTTATTTTACACAATTGTTGAGAATTACACTGTTGAGAAATGAGTCACAGTCCCAAGAATTTTGACGAAATAACAATATAACATCTCTATTTTTGGCAAGTTGTCCTTTCGGAAAACTGTCCGTTCGGCAAAATGTCCGTTCGGCAAAATGTCCGATCGACAAAACGGCGGTTCGGCAAAACGTCCGTCGGCAAAGTGTTCGTTCGGCAAAATGTCTTTCGGCAAAATGTCTTTCAGCAAAGTGTCTTTCGGCAAAATGTCCGGGTACCACAATTTATTTGTGCGTTCCATCTTTTAATGTAGTAAGCAAGTATACCAATTGGTTTGGTATTATTCAATGCACTGGTTTTTTCTTCGCTCCCATCACGGGTCTTATCACGGACTGGAAACGAAAGAAGGAAGAGAAAACTGGTCTTTCCGGTTTTGTTACTTGTTATCTTTTGATTGCATCTGTCGCTTTAATATTGAACATTCTGGTTCTTCTTCCCAGTCTATCTGTGCAGGTATGAGAGCTATATGAAAGTCAAGGGGTTAATTTATCTAAAAACACCACTATAATAAATAATTTCATATATCCAAGCCACGTTCCAAGCGGCAGCCCGGGCGAAGGTACAAACTCCGCTCTGCTATTTAAACAAGAGAAAAGAACAGCAAGCGGATTCAAAAGTTCATCATTATCGCCGGCTCGTTGGTGTCATGTGGGTGGTCATGTCATTTATCTCAGAAACATGAATAAGCAAGCAAAAAATAAGAAAATGTTTCGTACAACAATTGAAGTATTGTTTTGAATTTTTCTTTGAAAAAAATGATAAGTAAATATTCATTAATTATAAGAAATAGAAAACGAGTGAATGTTGGGACAATACGAGAGAAGCGTGTAAAACACGAGGCGTAGTCATGTATTTCACACGCTTCTCGGGTATTCTCTCATCTTTTGGAAATTAAAACTTAATAACTGACTGGTAGAAAAAAATTCGAAAATCACAAAAACAACCCACACTGACAAGGAGTTCAATTTGCTGTGTTTTGCTGCATCAAACAAGCTCGATTTGGCAGGAAAAGCGTCCTAGGTTTTCGTCGATTTGTTGTATTTTCATTTGCTTAAATTATCATTATATCTTTTGTGTTTTGCCTAATACATGTCAAGTAGTTTTTTATTTGTAGCATTGAAGGTACTTTCTGAACGAAACTGGTTTAGCTTTTTTTCTACTTTTCGTGTATTTCTGTAGCTTTTTGAAGCGTTCTCGGCTATATTCAGGCTATATTCAGGCTCCAAAACCAAAGAGATTATTTCCCTGGCCTCAGACTGATAAAACGTAACAAAGCAACGGTTTTACTAACACTAACCCTACTCCAAACACTATCTCTAATCGTAACCCTAATCCTTACCCTAACCCTAACCCTAACCCTAACCCTAACCCTAACCTAACCCTACTCCAAATTTGTTTCTAAACCAATCTTGAAGAAGAAAGTTTTGACGAAATGTCATTCTGAGGTCAGCGCAATGAGTGATTCCATTGGGTTACCTGTTCAGGATGACGGATGCCAATTTTTAGCTCTTTTGGACATTTTGACGTTAATAAAACACAAAAACAAATATTTTTAATCCCATTTTAAACTCGTAACTTTTAAACGCAAAGTAAATATCTATTATTTGACCGTAATGGGCCAACAATTTCTCTTACATTTTGCTAAACGTTTGACGATGTTCAGATCCAAGATGGTGGCTCTTATTATGATGAATCTGTCACGTTTATTAAATGAATGCCAGTGCTTACCAAGGGATGTGTTGGTGGAAAAACTAATTGAAGATAAGGACATTGAGGAATTGACAAATTTAAAGCTTCAACCCTATGAAAAGTGCAAGAATATCAAGGGTTTTCCCTAGAATGTTACCAAAGACGAAAACCGAAAGGCACAAGCCATTACTCTAGCCTGGAAGGGAGGCATGCTGACGACGTGTATGAACTGATGATGAGGCTCATCATGAGGCTCATAACAGTTCAGCTGCAATAAATAGTTCAAGCGGCTGGTAAGGGGAGAAGAGCAAGGTTGCTTCCTTGGAATCTGGACAGGTTATATTTCGTGAAAGATTTACCCAGGTAACAGACGAACTGTCAAGCAAAATAAGCAATCTAGTAAAGGTTGTCGAAGCACAGCGTGAGGAAATGAACCTGATAAAAGTTGAAAACGAATTACAGCATGAGAAGATAAAGGCGATAAAAGTTGAAAACGAAAAACTGCGCCTTTTTCGCACTAAGATTGTCACGAATCTCGCGTATTCAACGCAGAAGGAGAAAATAACACTCATCAAAAGCACTGTGGTGATAAATCACCTACTTCTCAGATGGTTGTGCAATAATGTCGTAGGTATACGGATCGTGAAGAAAGCAAACATTGAACACAATCTGTACGGTCCGTACGAGCTGTGAAATGGCTTTACAGTATGAACAGTACGGTTCGTGAAAATGATTTACGGCTCGGAAACCTACTTTGTTGATCCGTGAACTGTGTCAACGGGTGCTGTTGTGTTTACGTTAGGACAGAAAAGTTTGTCGATTGTTTGGTTTTCAAAAAAAAAGATAATCAAATTTTAGTGCGCTATTGCACATGAATTTCTCCGCGTATGAACGAGATTTTTTCGTATGAGGAAAGATCAAGATTTTGCTGTTGAATGATATGTTTTTCTGATAATAAAACATATTATTCAACAGCTAAAAGTCCGATCTTTCCGAATACGAAACAATCTCGTTCATACGCAGAGTAATTCAGGTGCAAAAGCGCACTGAATTCCGACGTAAACGAGATTCTGTCAGTTCCTAGAAGATGCAAATCTATGGGTTATGTTGATGATACAAAAACTTTCATCGCCTTTCCACCACGTGATCTTAGCAGCGCTATATCTAATTTGAATGAAGATCTAAATGAGATATCGAGATGGTGTTGTGCAAACTCGCTTCTAATAAATTCGGAAAAAACAAAGGTTCAAGTAATCGGGGTCTCGCAATTGATCCGTAACCTACCACCGATACCCCCCATCAAGATATTAGGAAAGGTGATCAATCCTGTTCCCGTAGTCAAAGACTTAGGCGTTAGTATTGACTGTTATCTTAGCTATAATGAAAATACTAAGGAATTAGTTTCAAATTGCATGTTTAAACTGTCAAGAATTAATCGGATCAAACATTTGCTTGATAGAAAAACCATTCTCCTCCTGATGGAAGTATTTGTTTTCAGTAAGTTATTTTATTGCTCAACTATATGGAGCAATACATCTAAACAAAATGTAAAGAAGCTGCAACTAGTGCAGAATTTTGCTGCAAGAATTGTTCTGGGACTCAGGAAATATGACCATATTTCTGAAGGCATACAATCTTTGAAATGGCTCAATGTAAAGGACACACTATTCCTAAATGATGCCGTTATGGTCCATAAATGCCTTCATGGCAAAGTACCAGCATATTTATCCGATAAGTTTATGCCTCGTTCTGCCATACATAGCAGATCGACTAGACATTGTAATGATTTAAATTTGCCCAAATGTAGGCTTGCAACTGGGCAAAGAATGTTTTCCTATCGGGGGGCAAAACTGTATAATGAACTGCCTCTTGATATTAAGGAAATTGAGAACACTAGATTTTTTAAGAAAAGACTTCGAAATGAACTCAGAAAGAACTTATTGAGTTAATTTGTTTTTAATTAGATATTATTTATATATTGTATTTATCAATTGTAGCGGAAGAGCCCTTTTTAGGGAGCTATAATAAAGTATCTATGTCTAT